GTCTGAGCTGCTGGTGGTGGGTGCTGAGCAGGAGGCGAAGGGTGGGGGTGAAGGGCAAGGGGTGGGACAAGGGGTGAGGAGGGGGCAGGTTGACGACCATTGCCTTCTGTCGATCCTGCTGCCCCTGTTCATAACCGCCGTCATGGTTCATCGCTGCCGGTTTTCCTCACCTACTGTAGTTGTCCGTTGCCCACCGTGGTCATCCGTCACGTCGCCCACCATCTGTCATCGTCGTCCGACGCCTGATGTCCCTTGTCCGCTGTCACCGTTTGAGGGTGAACGAGGGTCGAAGAAGGGGCAAGGGAGGGGTGGACGAGGGGCCAGAGGGCGAGGCAGAGGGCAAGACAGAGGGGCGAATGAGGGGTGGATGGGGGGCAAGAAGGTGGGGCAGGGGGCAAGAGGCAAGATAAGTAGAGGGCAAGAGGCAAGGTAGAGGGCAAGGATGAGGGCAGAAGGCAGTGAGGAGCGGACAAGAGGCGAGAAGGCAAGGCAGAGGGCAAGGGCAAGGCAGAGGGCAAGAGGGCAAGGCAGAGGGCAAGAGGGCAAGGCAGAGGACAGGGGAGCGAACGAGGGGCAAGGATGAGGGTGAAGGGTGCCCCCAGTTGTGCCCCCGCTGTCCTCATTGTGCTGCCATCCTCGTCATCCTCGTCATGCTGCCTTCCTCGTCCTCGTCTTCATTGTGCCGCCGAACTCGTCGTGCCCCCATCGTCCTCATTGTGCCCCCGCCATCACCCACTGTCCGTCATCTGTTGTCGTTCGTCACCCACTGTCCGTCATCTGTTGTCGTTCGTCACCCGCTGTCATCATTTGGTGCCGGCTGTCATCGTTTGTCGCTGGCTGTTGTTTGTCATTGTCATTCGTTGCACAGGCGATGAGAGGCAGAAGGTGGTGGGGAGCTTGAGGATGGAGGGGGGGAGAGGGGCACAAGAGAGGACCCAGGTGGGGGTTTCGTGTCTCTGCCCACATCCCTACAGAAGGGGAGGGGTGTGAGAGGTGAGGTGAGAGACGGAGGGATGGGGTTCCTGCCCCAGCCCACATCCCTATTGAAGGGGAGGGGCCAGAGAAGCATGGAAAACGAACGTCGACTTGAAGTTGATGTTCATTGGCCTAAGGTTGAATTAAAGGTGTATTAGAGTATGAAAACATGAATAAAACAGATTACTTATTGTTTTTTTCAGTCTTGAGGTGTTGTTTGGGGGGTTGGGTGAAGAGGGGAGAGGCCAGGTGGTGGTCGAAGATGAGGATCAACAACTCTTGTCATCATTGATGGGTTATCTGGCAAACACTGTGAACGATTTGATTGGCTGGCACAGGTGGTCCAGCCATCCTGTGTTCCGCTCATTGACCTCGGAAGAGCCAGTATGCTCAAGACATGACAAAAATATTTTTATTTATCATTGGTAATGGATTAAATTACCATCGTCTATGTATTTATGTACGTCCGAATAATATATGAGACCAAGAACGAGCAAAAAGTTTGAGTTACCATTTTCGCGTGGTGATCGTCGTCTTCTTGACATTCTAACCCCTCAAATACCACTCATTTGACAAGCTGAAACATCACAATAACCTTACATTTTTTATCCTTCAGTAAGTAAGGATATTATACATAAAAATTAGCCTGAATTTACAATGTAACTCCTGTGATACAAGCTGGTGTCTGATATTTGACACATCCATGAGTTAGTTTGACTACAGAATCTACCCTGTCGTTCGCAGTTTCTTAGTTTACATCCTGAAATTATAAAGTTGGCCAGGGGAGCTTCATTCCTCAATACTATCATAGGTATTCAGTCTGTATATCATTTTTATATATTTATTCCACTTCTTCTGCCTCTTGGAATCTATGTACAGAGGAGAGAGTCCCCCAATTGAGCCTGAGATGAAGTCATTCATAAAATATTTAATTTTCATTATAATTTGTTAAAATTACATGAATAGATGCATTTCTATACTAATAACAATTTCCGAAAGGTTGAATAGAGACACGATGCGTTCTGCATCCATTGGAGCCATTCCGTTGGTCAACAACGGAACAGAGGGAGTTCAGGCCGCAAGTCCTAGCCAATGGGATGCATGGCCGGAATTCGCTGAACCACGATCAATGATGTTCAACATCGTTGGTCTTCCTCTTTGTCCACCACCTCCCTCACCCTCCCTCTGCGAAGCAGCCCTGAAACACAAAAAAAGGTAAGTACATAGCTTTCTTATGTACTTACATCCCTACTAACCGACTGCTGCCCTCACAGAACCCCGTCCACATCGATGACAACCCAACAAGGCTGCCCCTCCCCTCGCAACAGGGATGTGGGCTTGGGCATCTTCCTGCCCATGGTCACCTGCTTGCCCACCACCGCCTGCTTGCCCGCCACCGCCTGCTTGCCTGCCACTGCCCGCTCACCCAACATCGCCTGATCACCCTTCGACCAGGCAGAGGATAGCAACAGCAGAGGCATGATGACAATGACAGGGGCAGGGGTATGATGACAAGGACGATGGGGGCATGATGACAAGGATGGTGAGGGAATGACGATGACAACAAGGGAATGATGACAATGACGAGGGAACAACGATGATGACGAGGGAACAACGATGATGACGAGGGAACAACAACAACGGCGGGGGCACCCTTCACCTCCGCCCTCACCCCTCGTTCGCTGCACCTGCCCTCTGCAGTCTCGCCATCTCGCCGACCTCACCATCTCGCCATCTCCCTTGCCCTTTTGCCCTCTCACCATTGCCCTCTCGCCATTGCCCTCTCACCCTCTCGCCCTTTTGCCCTCTCGCCATTGCCATTGCCCTCTCTCCCTCACCCTCTCTCCCTCACCATTGCCCTCCCTCACCCTCTCTTGCTCTCGCCCTTTCTCCCTCTCACCATTGCCCTTGCCCTTTTGCCCTCTCGCCATTGCCCTCTTGCCCTCTTGCCCTTTTGCCCTCTTGCCCTCTTGCCCTTTTGCCCTCTCGCCATTGCCATTGCCCTCTCTCCCTTGCCCTCTCTCCCTTGCCCTTGCCCTCCCTTGCCCTCTCTCGCTCTTGCCCTTTCTCCCTCTCGCCATCGCCCTCTTGCCCTCTTGCCATTGCCCTTTCTCCCTCTCCTCTTGCCCTCTTGCCTTCAGTATCGCCCCCTGGCCTCTGCATCCCCCCTGACCTCCACCATCACCATTGCCATTGCCATTGCCCTCTGCCTCGCGAACAAACCCAATGGGGGTGGAGGGCCAAACAGACAGGCAGAGGGTGGAGGCGACCCAATGACGGGCAGAGGAGGCTGGAAGAGGGGCAAACGGCCCCCAAGGAACCGCAGAGGGTCGAACGACCCCCACTGAGCAACAGAGGGCAAAATGACCCCCCAATGAGCAGGGGAGGGGCAAACAGCCCCCAACACTGAGGTGGAGGATTCCCCAACAGGCAGAGGGGGGGAAGAGGGGAGGACAGCCCCAAACAAGCAGCAGAGGGTCAACGACCCCCAACAAGCAACGGAGGGGTGGAGGAGGGCGGAACAACCCCCAATGACAAGCAGAAACAGCGCGTTCATGGCGTGCTGTTTCTGCTCATTTTCTCTTTATTTCACAGCAGGTGGTTGGTAGAGCCACCTGCACCATGTATATATTTTATTTCAATTTAATACAATTTTTTTCGTAATTTCTTTCGTGTACTATGAGATACCCCCGAGCTTGCCAGACGTTGTGACAGACGATGGCAAGAGCATTAAAACAGGTATGTCATGGTAATTACATGATACTCTAAAAATAGCTAAAGGCCCTGAAAAATGGCCACGTCATCCAAACGCACCTGGCCCAATCCACCCAATCCTGCCCCCCAACGCTGGGGGAAATGGTGCACAACGATGAGGAAATATATTTCCTCATCGTTGGGACCTTTTCCCCATTGAAAACAGTGGCAGGAGGCCTGCAAACAACGAGGAACAGTGCTCGGACACTGTTTCCTGCATTGTTTGTCTATGTTGATGTCCCCTGCCCCCATTCTCAGAGACTGGCACACCCGGCATGACCTCTCCCTTAGGCTGACTGCTTTATGACAGCCAGGACTGATCCTGTCACACTGCTTAAAGACAGTATTTGATATAGAATTGTAGCTGACATGGCTGGCCTACCCCAACTCCCTCCACTCGAAATCCGTCGTTTGCTGTGCATCCGGCTGATTTTTGTACCACTTCCATGCTCTATCCGAGCAATCCGACTCACATCTGAGTCATCTGACCCCTCTCATCTGTTCCGGCTCCCTTCCAGCAGCATTTTCTTATTTTTTCAGCTGCCTCCTCACATCCACCTTTTCAACTTCAACATCCATTGTCTTCCTGACCATCCGACGATTTTGCCGTTCACATCCAACCTCTTCCGGACTCATCCGAACCCCTTCCTTTGCATACAACCCATTCCACTCTCTCCGGCTCATTTTTTCGGCTATGTTTTTGTGGTTTTTGGTTATTCTTGTATTTCGCATTTTTGAGTTTGCCAAGGTCCACTCCCTTTTTTCTCTGGCTTCCGAGACGGCTGTCTTCTCATCTGAGACTCATCTGTGCTTCAGCCAACCCTTCCACTCGTTTTTCTTTACCTACATTTACTTACCTTTGCACTTCTTCATTTCCGAGTTACGTCTTTCGCATCTTCGACTTCCAGGGCGGCTGCCTTTGCTTCCACACCACTTCCGAGTTGCAGCTGGCCCCTTACCCTCATTTTTTGCCTCTGCCAGCCCACCCTCATTTTTACCTTGTACTTCAGACCTAATTTAGGCCTCGAGGGCTCGGCCATAAGAGGGAGGTACTGTCATGACCCGTCCCCGGCTTCTGGCACAATTATCTGGCTCCCGAGGCTGTATCCAGCTTCCAAGGCTTGTTGTAATGAGCCGTGCTCTTCTGAGGTGCTTCCGAGACATCTGGGAACGAGCTGTGCACTTCCGAGGCACTTCCAAGGCGTGCCATGTTTCCGGCTCACTCCATTGTGTCTCCCAGCCATTGTCCCATTGTTCTCCATTGTCCCTCTTGTCCTGGCTAAGTTATCTATTACATAATCATGGTCCATTATCCTACATAGCATAAATACCCATGTACAGTAGTAGATACCTCAGTTGGAATATCAAACTCGACATACCCCCTTTGCTCTAGTTCACTGCCAGAATCCAGCTCCTCCCTGTTCATCCATAAATTGGGGACAACCAGATGATGTGTAGGGGCACAGCACAAGAGCATGCTGAGGCCAAGTCCCCCCCTCTGTTCAGGTCATTACAGTAGATTCAAGCTACTACCTGCACTATCATCAATCTTGCTTCAGCTGGATTGAGTTTCAGCAAACCCTGCAGCATCAAGACCTCAAGTTTTGGATGCAAACCTTGTCCAGCCTCAATTGAGTTTGGGGCACCAACACCACTCCTTTTCATCACCTTCCTTGCCACCTCATTACCCCTCCTTTCCTCATTATTCCTGCCACCTCATCACCATTCATTCTACCACCACCCACCTTCTTTCTTCAAGATCTTCTCAAGTGACTTCAAGACCCATCCAGACATCCAGACATCCAGATTCTCAGTCTCTTCAGTCCTTCCAGTCTTCTGAATCCTCAAGTCATCTCTGTTACCTGGATCTTCAAGATTGTCATTCTTTCATCCTCAGTTCCTTACCCTGGTCAACCCTCAACTCACCCAGACCTCAAGATTAATCTAATGGCTTTGAGGGCTCAGCCATAAGGGGGAGGTACTGTCACATCCCATTCCTGAACCCATTGTTCCATTGTCCCATTGTTCATTGTTCTGGTTCATCAATGGGCTTACTTTCATTGTTTCATTCATTATTGTCTTCATTGTTCTCTGTCATTGTTCTGCTGGCATTCATTACATAACCTAGATCTTCTCCATTGTTCTCAATAGTATAAGTAGCTAGGTAGTGTACTGGATTCCCCAGCTTGAATCTCAACCTTGACATCCCCTCTGCTCTGTTGTTCATCCTCTGTCTCCTGGGCCTTGGCCAGGATGACTTCTTCTTGTCTCTCCTCTGTCAAGACCAAGGCAGTTCCTGTAAATTGGGGACAACCAGATGATGTGTAGGGGCACAGCACAAGAGCATGCTGAGGCCAAGTCCCCCCCTCTGTTCAGGACATTACACATCCCGAGTCTCTCAACTTCAATGGAGTTCACTGGATACTTCTCAATGTTGTTCTTTTTGCTGCATCCTCGCTTGTGCTTCCGATGGTGTCTCTCATATGTAGCATACTCCAAGTTTGCCACCCCATGAATGTTGTAGGCCTTGTCTTTCTGTGTTTTTTATCAGGCTGCATGAATGTTATTCTTGGTTTGTGAATTAATTGATTCACCTTCATTGCTGAGAACTAATTTCATACCAGGCAACTGGGTCATGCCCTCCATCCTTCATCATGACCGGATTGTGGCTGCATGTCTGCAGACTGCTCATCAGCACCGCACCCACTGGACCTTCACCACACTGCGTCGATGGCACCAGTACTTTCGACCATCAACCCAATCAATTTTCACAATATTTTTGGTGGGCTTATTGGCACGCTCGCTTGCTCTTTGTAAGTCTTTTCTTCATTAATTAATTGAGTACCTTGCTCAATGAGCCCTGTAGCTGTCACACCAACAACAACCTTCTCAGATGTCAACCAAATGCTGGCATCACAGGTGATTGGTTACTGGACCGCTATGCGGACCGTCTCCACTTTGATGAGCGCAATCCCATGCAGGATAGGTGCCCTTATCTCGACGAGCTCATCACGAAAGTGAGGGCCAACCCTTTAACAGTACTGGCTGCAACTGATGGCTCTGTCCCTCAGTCCAATCAGTATCAGGCAGCTTTGGCTGCCATCATCTACAAGGGACATAGTGAGCTCGAAAGGACTTGCTATGTCTCTGGCAGAGTCACCGCCCCTGACATGGAGCTCAATGCCATATCGTGTGCAGTGCGCCTGGCTGTCAAGCAGGCAAACTGCCAACATATTATGGTCTTTACTGACTCTATGGGCTCAGCCCACAGAGCAGTGGACCCCTCCATGCACTCTGGTCAGGCTTTTAGCCTGTCAGTCTGTCGCGCTCTCCAAGAGTGGTTCAAGGCAGATGTTCTCCACTGCATCACCTTTGTTTATATTCCATCTGCTTTGTGGTGGGACATTCATGGTGAGGCACATAAGTACATTACTGAACTCAAAGTCAGGGTTGGACATTGCAAGACGGACAACTCTATAGACGTGCTTCGCTCTCGAGCTGCGCACTCAAGTCTGGACGCATGGGCCTCCATGTTCCAGGATCGTTCATACCGAGGCTCTGAATTCTTGGAGCTTCAACAGCCTGACAGGCAGCTGATACAGCCATCCTACCTCAATGGGGGACCTTGGCTCTCAACATTCGGACACAGTATCACTGAGTTTGCTCGCGTCTGCTGGTGCATAACTGGCCACATGCCCATTGGAGCGTGCTACTGTCACTTCAAGATTAATGAGCCTCATGGCTGCACTTGCGGGGCTGCTCTGCAGTCCCGCCAGCACATTCTCTTTTGCTGCCACGATTGATATTTCATGCACTACCCCCATTTCCTCGGGGATATTGCATCTTATCTGAAGTACAACCCTACAGCATTTGGCTTCAACTGAGACCCTTCGGGGGTCGGATGATCATTGCAGGCTGGGTCTATCCTGCCTTCGGGTAGTGTTAACTGCTCTGCAGGGACCCTTGCCCTATATTATTCTTTCACGCTTGCAGCCCACTATTATAGCAGGTAGCGGTGCTGCTAACTTTCTGCGTCTGGTTTCGGGCAGGCGCATCTTTGGCTTGTCAGCCTCAAGACACCCTGCCACCTCCTGGGTGGTGCTTTTCTTATCTCATTTGCGCTGTGTGGCCTCTGAACAGCGATCAACGACTTTGGGGCATAGCAGAACCTCGATGGTTTCCTCCCCTTATCCCGATGCACCATTTTCGCAAGATGGGTTGCCCTCTGGGGAGTTTAGGCATTTGAGCCCAAAGGGTCTTGGTTGGGGGGGCGGTCATCTTGAAGTAGTTTACCTAGTACCCAGGCCGCATAGTGTACGTGTTTGTAGATAGTGAGCAGGCTGCCACTGAGCACCGCTATATAAATTGTTGATCTAAAAAAAATAAAAAATAAAAAATAAAAAAAATCCACTCACAGTCATAGCAATGGGCCCAGAACTTACACGAGGCTGAGTTGGCGGCATGGTCCTTGTGGTAGTTGACACAGTGGCCCTTGTGGGGGCAAGGCTGGTTGTGAGGGGTGGGCGGCACAGGGGGCTTCGCTTTTGCGTTCCCCTTGCAACATCCCACATGTTGGTGATGCAGCCAATACAGCTAGTGAAGCATTTCAAACTGGGGAACTCCCCAGAATGCTGGATGCATCAGGGTGGGGAGTTGCCTATTCATGGACCCCAGACCACCCCCTGCTGCTGGGGAGGGCTGGGGATGACCGTTTCAGTGATGGAAAAGGCTTGGGAGGGGTTTGATGAGACCCGGGGACTGTTCTGCATCCTTTCCGGTATGGGGGAGGAGGTGAATTGGCCCGTATGGGGTGCCACATTACCTTGGCAGTGCGCTTTTTTTAGATCCACGGCTATTTTTAATTTGACAGCCCATGACATCAGAGAATGATGTCACTGATGCAATCCATCAATTCTTGATGTCCTCGCCTCAGAGAATCCGCCTTCCGGCTGTGGCTGTGCTCATTCCCAATGCGGACATAGGGGGATCAAAATAGGCTCTGCTGGCCTCATCCATGGCTTATTTCATTACACCACACCTCTGAATGGACGAAACAATTATGCGATAATATTATACATAATTTTAGCTTTCTGTAGATGCCAAGAACATCAGGAGAGACCTATTCTTGGTAAAGATATGGTGCAAACAGTGGTTTATACACCAAAAATGCGAAAATGCGCACCAAATGTGCCCCCTCTCATGCCCCCCTGACTCAAATAATCTATGTGATAATATAGGGTAGTGTATTACCTTTAATTTGACTGCTTAAAATTGGTTGTGCAGGCAGTATTGACTATGCTATTCCCTTATAGAGCGCATTTTCTAAAAATAGCAAAGAAGTGCACTCAATTCTCTACCATTTGCAGGCATCCAATCCTTGGGGCAGGTCAGCGATTCAATATATAATATATAGAGCTTTCAAACGAGCCCTCCCGCATGTCCACGCGCTCAGTATTGCAGCTGATATTACAGGATTACCCCTCATGCATGGCAATTTATTGATGGCTGCACATCCATGCAGAATTCCGGCTTCTCCATGCATTATTTTGCTTATATTTGGCTGAGCGAGATGTTGGGTACATTAATACCTTCCTGCAGAAATACTCATCGTGTGAAACGGGTGGAAACTCGTTGAGATATGACAGATGCGATTTTGGCTGCTATAATACATGGTGCACCCATGCATCCTGGGGCATGTTTAGGGCCATCTAACTCGGCCAAAAATCATGGAATACATGCCTGAGAGTAATGGTACCATTTATAATGCCAGGGGGTGTCCAGGTATAGTAGATCTGAGGGGGGGTATAGGTACACCAGGAGACCCACTCCAGACCCCCCACTAAATGCAACTCTGAATGTCTGAAAGTTTCTATTTCGATAGTGTATATTTATTCATGAATTTAACAGATTTTATCATAATTTTATATGGCCTTGAAGTTGGGTTATTGACCGATTTCCCAGGATCTAAAATATTTCATTGACCTCCAGGATGGGAGGTATTGGCACATGTAAGGTCATGATAAATGACGATAAATGTATAGAAACAGAACGAGGTACTTTTAAGGGCAAGGAGATGATTTTGGGTAAAGTTATTAAGGGGAGAAGGAGGAGGTAATCCCCCACATCAGTATCTATCTATATACTTACCAAATCCACATATCGCACCCATTTGATGGTGCGTTCGGGTCAGTATAATGTCCATTAGCATATTTTAGTAGTGCCGGATGAGGCTCCGATGCCTGGGGGAAATGGTATTAGAGAAAGAGCCGAAAATGCGCAAAAAACACGAAAATATTTAAAATGAGTACCTCGGACTTGCTAAAAAATTACCAAACTTCGTATATGAGGACCTATGAGCACTCTGAGGAGACTGAAAAAGACTGAATGAGATTCCGAGCAGTAGGTGGAAAGATATGCAAAAGGGTATCACGATGACAGCAATAGCATCAACATGCTGTCACAACTCTTTTATCCAAGTGGTGCTTTTGGAATTCCCTTTGCATATCTTTCCACCTACTGCTCGGAATCTCATTCAGTCTTTTTCAGTCTCCTCAGAGTGCTCATAGGTCCTCATATACGAAGTTTGGTAATTTTTTAGCAAGTCCGAGGTACTCATTTTAAATATTTTCGTGTTTTTTGCGCATTTTCGGCTCTTTCTCTAATACCATTTCCCCCAGGCATCGGAGCCTCATCCGGCACTACTAAAATATGCTAATGGACATTATCCTGACCCGAACGCACCATCAAATGGGTGCGATATGTGGATTTGGTAAGTATATAGATAGATACTGATGTGGGGGATTACCTCCTCCTTCTCCCCTTAATAACTTTACCCAAAATCATCTCCTTGCCCTTAAAAGTACCTCGTTCTGTTTCTATACATTTATCGTCATTTATCATGACCTTACATGTGCCAATACCTCCCATCCTGGAGGTCAATGAAATATTTTAGATCCTGGGAAATCGGTCAATAACCCAACTTCAAGGCCATATAAAATTATGATAAAATCTGTTAAATTCATGAATAAATATACACTATCGAAATAGAAACTTTCAGACATTCAGAGTTGCGTTTAGTGGGGGGTCTGGAGTGGGTCTCCTGGTGTACCTATACCCCCCCTCAGATCTACTATACCTGGACACCCCCTGGCATTATAAATGGTACCATTACTCTCAGGCATGTATTCCATGATTTTTGGCCGAGTTAGATGGCCCTAAACATGCCCCAGGATGCATGGGTGCACCATGTATTATAGCAGCCAAAATCGCATCTGTCATATCTCAACGAGTTTCCACCCGTTTCACACGATGAGTATTTCTGCAGGAAGGTATTAATGTACCCAACATCTCGCTCAGCCAAATATAAGCAAAATAATGCATGGAGAAGCCGGAATTCTGCATGGATGTGCAGCCATCAATAAATTGCCATGCATGAGGGGTAATCCTGTAATATCAGCTGCAATACTGAGCGTGTGGACATGCAGGAGGGCTCGTTTGAAAGCTCTATATATTATATATTGAATCGCTGACCTGCCCCAAGGATTGGATGCCTGCAAATGGTAGAGAATTGAGTGCACTTCTTTGCTATTTTTAGAAAATGCGCTCTATAAGGGAATAGCATAGTCAATACTGCCTGCACAACCAATTTTAAGCGGTCAAATTAAAGGTAATACACTACCCTATATTATCACATAGATTATTTGAGTCAGGGGGGCATGAGAGGGGGCACATTTGGTGCGCATTTTCGCATTTTTGGTGTATAAACCACTGTTTGCACCATATCTTTACCAAGAATAGGTCTCTCCTGATGTTCTTGGCATCTACAGAAAGCTAAAATTATGTATAATATTATCGCATAATTGTTTCGTCCATTCAGAGGTGTGGTGTAATGAAATAAGCCATGGATGAGGCCAGCAGAGCCTATTTTGATCCCCCTATGTCCGCATTGGGAATGAGCACAGCCACAGCCGGAAGGCGGATTCTCTGAGGCGAGGACATCAAGAATTGATGGATTGCATCAGTGACATCATTCTCTGATGTCATGGGCTGTCAAATTAAAAATAGCCGTGGATCTAAAAAAAGCGCACTGCCAAGGTAATGTGGCACCCCATACGGGCCAATTCACCTCCTCCCCCATACCGGAAAGGATGCAGAACAGTCCCCGGGTCTCATCAAACCCCTCCCAAGCCTTTTCCATCACTGAAACGGTCATCCCCAGCCCTCCCCAGCAGCAGGGGGTGGTCTGGGGTCCATGAATAGGCAACTCCCCACCCTGATGCATCCAGCATTCTGGGGAGTTCCCCAGTTTTAAATGTTTCAGCTAGCAGATATTGGTGGGTGATGTTCCTTCTGCTCATGTGGACCTGAGCAGATAGGGCAGCTAAGCTGCTTCGCCTTGCAGGCAACGGTGGGGTGGCCCCACTTCCAGCAATGCTGACAAAGTGGAACCCCAGTGTGTCACGCGGCAGGCCTGATTGCGCAGGACCGCCCAGCGAGGAAAATCGGTTGGCTGAGGGCCTTCTTGGCATGGGTTCCCTGCTGGGAGTCCCAAAGGTTGCAGTAGACCGTGCACGATGTCGAGTGTGTGGAGTTGCAATCTATCCGAGGCTTGGTGCTCAGATATGTGAAAACCTCAGCATGAACCAAGGTACGGAGGGCCTTTTCAAGTGCCTCCTGGGTGATCTTCAACCCCTTCGGATTGAAGTAAGGAACATCAAGGATCTTTATAAAAGATGTCGACAATAGGAGTGCAACCTTGAACGGAGTACCCATTGGGAGGCTTTCGCAAATAAAGTTGCGCAGTATGTCCAAATCGGACGGGCTGGCAATGGCGGGGGTGACCAACGACAAACTGTCGTAGGCACAGACAATGGAGGTGACCTTCAACATGGAACGGCCATCCCTGAGGTATCCGTTGGCTGCATGTACGGCTGACTCGGTGAAAAACTTCGTGAGGTCGGGAGGGGTACCCCTGAACGACACGAGAACCTGCTTCCAGGTGGGGCCCTCAGAAAAAGAGGGGATGGATTGATGAGGAGAAGTCTTCATTGGCCCTGTCAGGAATGAGGGTGGGGGAGAAGGCCCACGGTGTTGCAGTCCCAAGCCAGGAGGCAGGGGAGGCATCAGCGCGGCCTGATGAGCAATCCCTGCCCACATCATCAGACGGGGCTTGGGTTTGGTAGTGCGATTGATCGGCAGGGGCAGACCAGGGCGGGAGTAGGCAACCTTGCTCTTCTTCTGAGGAGGGGGCGGCACTGGACAATTGATACCCTTGCACTTCTTGGAAGCGGGGATGCAAGGAGAGGAGGCCTGGCGACCTAGGTCGTCCAAAGCCATGGGGACGTCAAAGACATCAACAACACCCTCACCGCGTGGCCCACAGGCAGCAGGGGGAGGGGGTCTGAAAACAGGAGCCAGGTGAATTGTCAGCTCATCCTTGGAGGATGTCTCAGCCTCAAGGAGAGAGGCGAGCGAGAAGTTGTCGAGCTTGCCTGGTCCACGAATACGACTAAAGTCGGTGGCCATGACGGTGTTCACAAAGGACGTCATCTGAGCCACAAAGGCATTGCCCCCATCAATGGTGAGCAGATCATGATGCGCAGCCCGCAGAATCCAATCTGTGGCTTTCGCAATGGAGGTGGTCAATACCTCGAGATCCCCAGGAAGATCCTCGACTGTGTCTCAGAACTTCAAGGTGTATTGACCTAAGAGAAGGTCAGTGGAGGGGTCTCTCGAGACCTCTTTGCCTTCCTGGGTGCCCTCAACCTCCATCTCCTGGGGGTGGGCCATCCCTGAGTCAGACTCATCAGCGGACAAATGGGCGGAACCTGTGGTGGAGCAGGACCTGCGGCAGGGCAACGTGTGGCGGGATCAAGTCGGCACAACCGTCAAGTAGGTATCCCTAGTTGAGGTAGGGTCTGGTGCTATTGGAGAGGCAGCACTGCCCAAGGACGATGAGCCAGCAACCAATGCTGGTATGTGTGCTGGTGGGGCAGAGCCCGAGCCCCTGCAATGGATCCCAGGGGGTCTCATGCCCTGACCTCTCAGTGGGAGGTTGGACATGAGTTGCTGTTGCAGTACAAACATTCAGGCGAGGTGGTCTGACAAGGCGATAAAGCGTTGGACGACAAAAGAGACGATGAGCTGGTTGTTTATGTTTGTTGACAAGTGGATGTTTGAGAGAAAGAGGTGGCTGTTCTTTAGCTTGCTGAGGGCCTCCCTTCAAAGACAGTCCCAGAAACATCAAAACGTCGGCCAAAGAAGACCAAGCCAAAGTGCACAAAAACTGTTTGTTCTGTTTATTCATTCTTGTTGGTCCTTTATGTTGACTTCTGCTCTTCAGACCGCAAACACTGTCCAAGATGATAATGAACAACCTCAACCAACTGTTAAACAGCCCTCAAAGGTAACATCTTTTCCAATCATGAGCACATCCTGATATTGATTATGTGGCAATAGATGGCTGGGAAGACATCAAACCCAATTTACCGCTTCTACAAGAAGGTCACTACTGATGCTGATGGCATGACCAGTGATGGGACGAAATATTTCAAGTGTTACCATGGTACCAGAAAGACAGTGAAGATCACAAAGGGAATGAAAGGCAGTCTCAATAGTGAGTTGCAGCCTTTCTGAATAATGCCTATATATCCAGACCTTGTTGGCCACCTTCAACGGCCATTTCCAGCACACCATTGCCTTTATGAGGTTTTAGCCAAGCGCAGAAGTCCTCTGACCAAGGAGGAGATCGAGATTGCAAGTGGGAAGAAGAGAATGGATGATGCGCTTGTTAAGAAGTATCTGAATGAGCTTGAGACAGTTTCTAAGAAGATCCGTGAAATGTTTGAGCAGCAGCTCGCCTGAAACCAGGTGTGTTCTAGCTTCTCTCCTTTCTTTAAGTCTTTGCATAGCTGACTTTCTATAGGAGCCTTGGGACCAGGCCCATTTTGAGACACTTGTTGCGAAGTGGGTTGCTGCCTGTGACCAGCCTTTCTCGGCTGTTGAGGATGAGGAATTCCATGAAATGCTTCAGTACATTCATCGCCAATCCCACGGAAAGCTCAAGATCCCTTCTCAGAAGGGAGTTCATGAGCGCATTCTGGAGATGGAAACGGAGATGGTTGATGGTTTCCAGGCAATGTTTAAGGTAAGTCTCTTAATTTAATTTCTTAATTCCTTCTGGAAATGTTTAACGGTTTGCCTATTTATAAACGGTCACCTGTTTCCATCAGAGGATGCATGGGAGGGGGCCCAGTGAGGCCACATTTTCGCATTTTCGAGGTGCAGGGCATTAATTTGGCTGTGCAGCTGCCAAAAATGGTTACACTGTCACGTGTGAGGTATCTACGGAAAGCTATGATTATTCTAGGATTTATCGTATTTTTTAATTCAAGAAAATCAGCCCGGAAATGACCGAAATATGCCAGCAATGCTGCCAGCCAAACCCTTATGTGATGCACTTTCCTAATGGGGAATACACATCAAAACGAGAAGCAGCACCACGAAATGAGAAGAATACCATGATATGAGAAGGTCAGTGGGTGATGAGAAGTGTGCAGGGCAATGAGAAGTGTGGATGAGAATGAAAAAATATGCCATGATATGAGAAGTCCATGAGAATGAAAAATGTGCTGCAATGAGAAGCATGGGAATGAAAAATGCATCAAGATATGAGAAGTACACTGTGTGATATGATAACTCTTAAGATATGAGAAGAAGAGCAGTAATGAAAAGTGCACCAATGAATGAGAAGACTTATACAACATGAACCAGAATGAGAAGTTGTGAAATTAATGAGAGATGCGAACTCCTCATAAATAACTGTGGTATTATTATACACAAGCAGTGCTGAGAATTGCCAGTAACTTATGATATAAGTGGCAGACACCAGTCCCAAACCAGCTTGGCGGCATACGCCAAAGGTCTACTGAGGATGCTGGATTGATTCTGACTCATCTCGTGCGAGCGGGGTGGGTTAAGGGTCTCCAGACTAGCACGCTGGCTTTTGGCATCACACAGTTCTTCCCTTCTATCAACCATGAGATGTTCATGGCTGTTCTACACAAGCAAGGGTTCTCGCCAGTATTGGTGGATTTCTTTGCGTCTTACTTAGTTGGGCGTTCCACAGTTTACTGTTGGAACACCTTCCAATCCAACTCACAATCCGCAGACATGGGTGTCAGGCAGGGCTCAGCTCTTTCGCCTGTTATCTCAGGGCTTTTCATTGCTCCGGTGATGAAGCTCTTCTATATCAAAGCGGTGCTGCTCAACACGACACTTCTCTCCTTTGTGGACGATGGGACCATCTGGGCCCGGTCCAAACAACTTGATGATAATAATGTGGGCCTGCATAAGGCCTATAAGATTATCTACCTTTTATTTGTTGCTTTCGCACTCGTCCTTGAACATGACAAGACTGAGTTGTTTCATTTTTTGCGTCGACAAGACACCTACAATCCTTTGCTTGATCTGGGGTATGCCCCACACACAGGTGCTACACCTTTGAAGCCCAAGACCTATTGGAGGTACTTGGGCTTCTACTTCAACCGCAGGCTCACTTTCCATGAGCACATTTGCTACTATGCTACCAAGGCATTTACCACCATGCAAGCTATGTGCATGCTCGGGAACTCTACTAGAGGACTCTCGCCTAAACAGCGGCACCTCCTTTACAGATCTTGTTAGATTTGGTCATGTGACCCTGGTTGGCTCACATGCTACATGTACAAATTCAGTAGTTTATTGATTAATACAACTTGCCGTTGTACTTTGTACTTCTGTTGTGGTCATTAGGTGTCTGTGTCTCCCCCCTTAGGTGTTTTAGGTGTTTCCTCATCTTCCCCATTTTCCACCACTTCTAACAGATCTTGCGTGGTTCCTATTGCCATGTACGGCTATCATCTCTGGTATTTTGATGGCACCTGTAACAAGGGCGCCATGAACCAGCTCAAACGGATGCAGCAGAAAGCTGCTCTGTGGATTATGGGTGCCTTCCACACCTCTCCCACAGGCGGTCTTGAGGTCTTAGCAGGTCTCATCCCTGTCCATCTCATGCTAAAGAAGCTGGCAGCATGTGCAGTGTACCGCATCGCAACCCTCTCAGACACTCACCCTCTCCGCTCTATGATGGGTGAGAGACTCCTCAAGCGGGCTGAACTTCATGCCCGCTCTGCCGCCTTGATAACCCCAGCTATGCAAGGGAAGGTCAAGAGCACCGTCATGGAGGTGGACGAGCGTGTCCATGTTAAACTTATGCAATGAAGTGGATAGTGATACACTGATCACACAACAATCACAATAAGTGCAGTAACCAATGATAAGGTGAATAATCAAGTGTATTGCGAGTTTAAGCCAACAGTTCAATCGTAGTGTACCTGCTTCCAGGACATGGTAGGAAATCCAACCTGTTTGGTCAAGTTGTGCACTGGCACCTCCAAGCATGGGCAGACATCCAGAAACCATGCCTAGAGCGAGAAACAAGTCTAACAAAGTATCTACTGAAGCTACAGAGACGAAACAAGTATGTACAAGTTCAGGAGGACGAGACGAGATTAACTATGGAGCAAACACAATGAGAATCAATGTGTGCAACGAGATATTAACGAAATAAGATCTATCTACAATGTCCATGAAGTGTCCATTTAGAGTCCATGAAGTGATTTCTCACTAATTCTAACACAACCCCCTGAGAAAACACTTCTTCAATCCAAAACAACCCCCCAACTGTTTGATCACCCACAAACACAACCCCCTGAGCAAACAGCCAAACAGCTCATGCAACCAAGCCCATCATATTTCGCAGTTTCTCCACCTGAGGCTTTGGCAATGCTTTTGTCAACAGGTCTGCTGGCATCTCCATTGTGGGCAGATGAATTGTCTCCATGCTCCGCTTCTCTACTTGAGATATCCAAGTGCTTCATTCTTCCATGATGCTCTGGATTCTTGGTCACAGACAATGCTGACTGGTTATCAATGTAGAGTTTTGAAGGCTTAGCAGGATGGTAGCCCAATTCAGTCAAGATGTTCTGCACCCAACATATCTCCTTGCCTGCTGCCAGTCCTGCAACATATTCTGCCTCTGTGGTTGATGTGGTCACAATTGACTGAAGTTTGCTGCTCCAACACAGTACTTTGTAGTCCCCCACAGAGTGCTATAGGACTCCACTGGACTCCAGTGGAGTTGGCATATTATGCAGTGGAGTCCAGTGGAGTCCAGTGGAATTATACTGGAGTTCAGTGGACTCCAGTGGACTCCAGTAAGAAGGTATAGTGGAGTTCAGTGGAGTCCAGTGGAGTCCAGTAGAGTCCAGTGGAGTCCAGTGGAGTCCAGTAGAGTCCAGTGGAGTCCAGTGGAGTCCAGTAAGAAAGTATACTGGACTCTACTGGAGTGTGATACTGGAGTCTTACCCGATTCCACTGGACTCCAATATATGTATCAAAATGGACTACTAACCAGTACCTATTACACATCAGAATAGATAATAGTCTGTTGGACCATTCCCCAAGTCCAGCATATAGAATATGTAACAAGATGCTTAACAATCATTTTTTTTAGAAAAAAACATCAGAATTTGTAGAGCACCTTTGGCTGACCCTGAATCAAGTTATTTGATGTCATTAGCTGCTCTGCTTGGCAAGAAAAATGCAAAATACTGAAAAAGTAGATTACTTTTGCAAATTTTGGCATTATTTGGCTTATATCTTGTCATTAATAGAGCCAAATACCATCACTCAAGTGGATTCAGGATCATTGTTAATTGCAATTATTTTTTTTCTAAAAAGGAAATTTCTCACAGTCATGTGACCTGCATATTTCACATTGTTAGCACCCCTAGTCTCTGTGTAGATAGTGCACATTTTAGCAAAATCCAATTTGTCACATGTGACTCTGATATTGATGTTATCAGCAAACTTGATAGCTTTATTACTTTTTATCAATGCCAAGTCTGGGCCTAGCAACTATGTATTTATTAATTGTTGTATTTATTAATTGTTTCTATTTGAGGCCATAACATCAAAGTTTCAGAAGCTGACCCTGAAGCAATAGGCAAATAAAAAGTCACATGACTGGCCATCAACCTTGGCATTAGTCACATTTCTCTTCTATGACTATAACATCTCTCTGCATTGTTCACTGGACTCCACTGAAGTCCTATAGGAGTCCAGTGGAAGATGGACACTCCACTCCAGTAGACTCCAGTGAACTCCAGTAGACTTTGGGTGGTGACTCCAGTGGACTCCAGTGAACTCCACTGGAGTCCAGTAGGCACTTTTGGCTGGTGTTCCTGCTAATAGATTTCTACCAGACTCCACTGGAGTCCACTGGAGTCCTATAGGGATACGTGGGGGAGTACAAAGACCTCCTCCAACACACTGCTCCCCTTCCCAATTTCACCATATACCCAGTTGTTGACTTCCCTCTATCCTTATCCCCTCCAAAATCTGCATCACTATATGTCCAAAATAATTCCTTCCCCAATGCAGGGTCAGGGCCATAAACCAGTTTCATATCCAAGGTGCCTTCACTGACTCTATGGGCTCGGCCCACAGAGCAGTAGACCCCTCCATGCACTCTGGTCATGCTTTTAGCCTATCAGTATGTCGTGCTCTCCAGGAGTGGTTCGAGGTGGATGATCTCTGCCGCATCACCTTCATTTATGTTCCATCCGCCCTTCGGTGGGACATTCATGGTGAGGCACACAAGTACGTCACCGAACTTAAAGTCGGGGTTGGATGTTGCAAAATGGACAACTCTATAGACACGCTGCACTCTCAAGCTGCGCACTCAGTCCTGGACTCGTGGAGTTCCACTTTCCAGGATCTGACCTACCGAGGCTCTGAATTTTTAGAGCTTCAATGGCCTGATGGGCGGCCGATGCAGCCATTGTACCTCAATGGGGGACCTTGGCTTTCAACCTTTGAACACAGTATTACTGAGTTCGCTTGCGTCTGCTGGTGTATAACTGGCCACGTGCCCATTGGAGCGTACTACCGTCACTTCAAGATCAATGAGCCTCATGGCTGCACTTGTGGGGCTGCATTGCAGTCCCGCCAGCACATCCTCTTTCGCTGCCGCAATAGATATTCTGTACACTATCCCTATTTTCCCAGGGATATTGCATTGTTTTTGAAGCACAACCCTATGGTGTTTGGCTTCAACCGGGACCCTTTGGGTGTCGGGTAATCGTTGCAGGCAGGGTTATTCCTCCTTTTGGGGGATTTAGGGTGAATCAACACCACGGACCTCAGGGTTCGGCGACCCGCACCTGCGACAACTCTTTAGTGCAGGCAGATGACTTCTTGGTCAATTGCAGCACTGCTAACTTTCTGCGTCTGGTTTCAGGCAGGCGCACCTTTGGCTTGTTGGCCTCAAGACACCCTGCCACCTCCTGGTTGGTGCTGTTTTATTTCATTTGCGTTGCATGGCCCCCGAACAGCAATCGACGATTATGGGGTGTAGCGGGACCTCAATGGTTTCCTCCCCTTATTCCGATGTACCATTTTTGCAAGGTGGGTCTGGCTTTGTGGGAGTTTCAGTGTTTGAGCCACAAGGCTCGTGGTTGGGGGGGTGGACCTCTTTTAGTAGTTTACCTAGTACCCAGGCTGCGTAGCATATGCATTTGTAGATAACGAGTGGGCTGCCATTGAGCACCGCTATATAAATTGTTGATCAAAAAAAAAAAAAATCCAAGGTGCCTTTCAGATATCGGAACAAATTCTTAACAGCTTGCCAATGCGGTTTTCCTGGGTTGGAATTAAACCTTGCCAGTACTCCCACTGTATAAGCAATATCAGGTCAGGTCATTGTAGCCAGATACATGAGGGATCAAATGGCGCTAATGTAAGGGATGTTTTCCATTGCTGCCTTTTCCTCTGGAGTTGTTGGACAGTCTTCCTTTGACAACTTCAGACCAGGGACCATGGGTGTACCAAGAGGTGTGCAACTAGCCATTCCATATTCCTCCAACTTGTTGATAATGTACTGATGCTGACACAGGGTCAATTGTCTCTCTGCCCTGTTGCGTCCAATCTCTACACCCAGTAAGAATTTGGTAGGTCCCAAGTCCCTGAGTTTAAAGTGAGTAGCCAACTCAGCAACAAACTTGTCCAATGCCTCTTCAGATCTCGAAGCAAGAGGACAGGTACCCCATTCGAGGTCACGCTTCCATTGTCCGTCTTTCATAAAGATACTTGACATTCCTTACTTTGACCCCAAAGGGCTGAAGATCACCCAAGAGGCGCTTGAGAAGGCCCTCCATACCTCAGTTCACGCTGAGGTCTTTGCATATCTGAGCACCAAGCCTTGGATTGATTGCAACTCGGCGCACTCCACCTTGTGCACCGTCTACTGCAACATCTGGGACTCCCAGCAGGGAACCTGTGCCAAGAAGGCCCTCAGCCAACTGATCTTTCTCGCTGGGCGGTCCTGCGCAATCAGGCCCGCTGTGCGTCACACCGGGGTCCCACTATGCCAGCGCTGCTGGAAGTGGGGCCACCCCACCGTCGCCTGCAAGGCGAAACAACTCTCTTGCCCCATCTGCTCGGGTCCGCATGAACAGAAGGAGCACCGCCAACATGCGGGATGTTGCAAGGGCAACACGAAAGCGAAGCCCCCTGTGCTGCCCACCCCTCGTGACCAGCCCTGCCCCCACAAGGGCCGCTGTGTCAACTGCCACAAGGACCACGCTGCCAACTCGGCTTCGTGCAAGTTCTGGGCTCATCGCTACGACCGTGAGTGGATCATGGCCGAGTATTGTCAGGTATGTGAGCATGCTGCTGCTCGCCGCCAACTTACTAACCCCCAAACCTAGACTAATGTTGGGAAACCTTCAGGATCTAAGTAGTGGGCTTTGTATCTTTTGTCAGAACATTCATCATACATATGCACACATCAATACTCTTCTAGAAATTTGTAAAACCAAATTTGATATTTTATTTTTCCAAGAAACACCTTGGAATTTCATAAGACACACACCGTCCACCACTAGTATGGAGGGCGATGAGGTTATTGGCGCACCGAAGCACCCAGATTGGTTGCAAATGGTGCATATTAAGGAGGGTGAAGTCCCTCACGTGATCGCCTATGTTTCGACTAGGCTTTCCCGCTATCGCCCTGCGATGCGTCATGACATCGTCGACCATCGCGATATCCACATCCTCTCCCTATTCAGTGGGGGTGAGGTTCTTAATCTCATGAATGTCTACTCGGACGATCAACATACAGCCATTGAGCACCTCGCTGCTCATGTGCATTCTCTACCGCCTTTCATCTACATGGCAGGTGACTTCAACTGTCTGTCTATGACTTGGGATGATTACGATCATGGTGAGTCAATGACAGCAATTTCCCTGCAGGACACCGCATCTCAGATCAGCCTCAAGTGGGCACGACCTTCCAACCATGGACCGACGAGGATCAGTCCTAATCCGAACCAGAGATCCAACGTGCTGGATCTTGTATTTTTAGCTCCATCTGAGATCTTAATCTCGATGCCCAGATTGGAGCACGATCTCCAGGGTCCATCAGATCATGTCCCGATCTGTATGGATCTTGATATCGGTCCCGAACCACCTGTATCTGGGCGACGGACAATTAAACCCAGAAGCGAGGCTGAAAAGTCCTTCCTTTTGGATATCCTCTGGGATCTTGCAGCTATTCCTGTCACAGCCCTGGCAACCAAGGAAGGCATTGAAGCTTTAGCTGATGCTATCGCAATAGCGTTCTCGGACGGGTGGCTTGTCCATTCGACTGAGTCCAAACCTACCAAGCACTCCAAGTCCTGGTGGACGGACAAGTGCTCAGAAACATTCGGAGTATATCAGTTGAGCCACTCGCTTGCTGATTACAACAAGTTTAAGAAGGTGTGTAAGGACGCCAAGCGTGATTTCTTTGATGAACGCATCGCAGAAATCACTACTTCTCGCAAGCGCCCGTGGGACCTAATGGAATTGGTCAAACAGCGCAAGCTACCACCCTGTGAGGCTATTCGCAACGGCAACCAGCCTTGCCATGATATGGACGACCTCTGGGACACCCTTCATGGCACATACAACTCGGCCTCTGGTTGTGAGTATGACGCCTCTGTATTAGATGAGCTTCCCGACGAGCCAGTCCGTGAGTGGGCTGACTTCTCGGAGCATGAGTTGTTGAGTGCTCTTAAGGGGTGCTCCAACTCCTCTGCACCAGGACCAGACCATGTTACATGGGTCCACCTAAAGGAGTTGCTCAAGGATAAACACGTCCTTGCACTCTTCATCGTGTTGGCCAACGCTTGCCTTAGGGTTGGGCATTGGCCGCGTATTTTCAAGGAGTCGCTGTTGGTTATCGTACTGAAGCCGAATAAGTCCTCCTATGTAGTCCCAAAGGCTTTCAGGCCCATAGTACTCCTCATCACCTTCAGTAAGCTTATCGAAAAGATGATAGCCAACAGGATACAGTTTGATGCTGTCAAGCATGATATCTTCCATCCCAACCAACTTGGCGGTATTCGCCAGAGGTCAACTGAGGATGCTGGATTGATTTTGACTCATCTCGTGCGAGCGGGGTGGGTTAAGGGTCTCCAGACTAGCGCGCTGGCTTTTGACATCACGCAGTTCTTCCCTTCTATCAACCATGAGATGTTCATGGCTGTCCTTCAAGCAAGGGTTCTCACCAATATTGGTGGAGTTCTTTGCCTCTTATCTGGTTGGTTGATCCACAGTCTTTTTTTTTTTTTTTTTTTTTTTTTTTTTTGATCAACAATTTATATAGCGGTGCTCGATGGCAGGCCGCTCACTATCTACAAACACGCATGCTGCACAACCTGGGTACTAGGTAAACTACTTAAAGACGACCGCCCCCCCAACCAAGACCCTTTGGGCTCAAACGCTGAAACTCCCCAGAGGGCAACCCACCTTGCGAAAACGGTGCATCAGGATAAGGGGAGGAAACCATCGAGGTTTCGCTACGCCCCAAAGTTGTTGATCGCTGTTCGGAGGCTACGCAGCGCGAATGAAATAAGACCAGCACCACCCGGGAGGTGGCAGGGTGTCTTGAGGCTGACAAGCCAAAGATGCGCCTGCCCAAAACCAGACGCAGAAAGTTAGCGGCACTGCAATACGCTATAATAGCAGACCGCACGCGCGAAGAAATAGTGGCAGGTGCAGGTCTTCGAACCCTAAGGTTCGGTGGTGTCAATTCACCATAAATCCCCCAAAAGGAGGAACAACCCTGCCCACAGCGATCATCCAACACCCGAGGGGTCCTGGTTGAAGCCAAACACTGTTGGGTTGTACTTCATAAAAGATGCAATATCCCCAAGAAAGCGGGGGTAATGCATGGAGTAGCGATCGCGACAGCGAAAGAGAATATGCTGACAGGACTGCAAAGCAGCCCCGCAAGTGCAGCCGTGAGGCTCATTGATCTTGAAGCAACGGTAATACGCTCCAATGGGCGCGTGGCCAGTTATGCACCGGCAAACGCAAGCAAACTCAGTGATACTGTGTCCGAAGGTTGAAAGCCAAGGTCCCCCATTGAGGTACGATGGCTGTAGCGGCCGCCCGTCAGGCTGTTGAAGCTCTAAGAATTCAGAGCCTCGGTAGGTTGGATCCTGGAAAGTGGAACCCCACAAATCCAGGACTGAGTGCGGGGCTCGGGAGCGTAGCGTGTCTATAGACAAAGGTAATGCGGCGGAGATCATCTGCCTCAAACCACTCTTGGAGAGCGCGACAAACTGACAGGCTAAAAGCCTGACCAGAGTGCACAGAAGGGTCGACCGCTCTATGGGCCGAGCCCATAGAGTCAGTAAAGACCATAATATGTTGGCAGTTTGCCTGCTTGACAGCCAGGCGCACTGCGCACGAGATGGCATTGAGCTCCGCATCAGGGGCGGTAACCCTGCCAGAGACATAGTGAGTTCTTTCGATCTTGTGATGTCCCTTGTAGATGATGGCAGCCAAAGCCGCCTAATACTGATTGGACTGAGGGACAGAGCCATCAGTTGCAGCCAGTACTGTTAGTGGGTCGGCCCTCGCTTTCGCGATGAGCTCGTCTAGATATGGGCACCTATCCTGAGCAGGATTGCGCTTGTCAAAGTGGAGACGGTCCGCATAGCGGTCCAGTAACTGATCGCCTGGGCGAGCTTCAGGTGCAAAGGGCTCGAAGCTGCTCAGTTAAGGTGTGGACGCGCTCGTCCACCTCCATGACGGTGCTCTTGACTTTCCCTTGCATAGCTGGGGTCATCAAGGCAGCTGAGCGAGCATGTGGAGCGGCTCGCTTAAGGAGCCCCTCGCCCATCATAGAGCGAAGGGGGTGAGTATCCGAGAGGGTGGTGACGCGATACACTGCGCGCGTTGCCAGCTTCTTCAGCATAAGGTGGACAGGGATGAGACCTGCCAAGGCCTCAAGACCACCTGTGGGGGAGGTGCGGAAGGCACCTGTGATCCATAGAGCAGCTTTTCGCTGCATCCGTTTCAACTGGTTCATCGCGCCCTTATTATGGGTGCCATTGAAATACCAGAGACGATAGCCATATGTGGCAATGGGAACCACACACAACCAATATAAGAGTTGACGCTGTTTAGGCGAAAGACCTCTAGTGGAGTTGCCACGCATGCGCATGGCCTGCACGGTGGTGAACACCTTAGTCGCATAGTAGCGGACATGCTCATGAAATGTGAGCCCGCGGTCAAAGTAGAAGCCCAAGTACCTCCAATAGGTCTTGGGCTTCAAAGGTGTAGTGCCAGTATGTGGGGCGTACCCCAAATCCAGCGAGGGATTGTAGGCGTCTCGTCGACGCAAAAAGTAAAACAGCTCAGTCTTCTCATGTTCAAGAATGAGTGCAAAGGCAATGAAGAGAAGGTAGATAATCTTGTAGGCCTTACGCAGGCCCACATTATTATCATCGAGTTGTTTGGACTGGGCCAGAATGGTCCTGTCATCCACAAAGGAAAGCAGCGTCGTGTTGAGCGGCGCTGCTTTGATATAGAAGAGCTTCATTACCAGAGCAATGAACAGCCCAGAGATAACAGGCGAGAGAGCTGAGCCCTGCCCGACACCCACATCCGCAGACCATGAGTCGGATTGGAAGGTGTTCCAGCAGTAAACGGTGGAACGACCAACAAGATAGGAGGCAAAGAACTCCACCAGAACCAGCGAGAACCCTTGCCTGCGAAGTACAGCCATGAACATCTCATGGTTGATAGAAGGGAAGAACTGCGCGATGTCAAAAGCCAGCGCACTAGTCTGGAGACCCTTAACCCACCCCACTCGCACGAGATGAGTCAGAATCAATCCAGCATCCTCAGTGGACCTCTGGCGGATACCGCCAAGTTGGTTGGGATGGAAGATATCATGCTTGACAGCGTCAAACTGTATCCTATTGGCAATCATCTTTTCGATAAGTTTACTGAAAGTGATGAGGAGTACGATCGGCCTGAAGGCCTTCAGTACGGCGTAGGAAGGCTTATTCGGTTTCGGGACGATAACCAATAGCGACTCCTTGAATATACACGGCCAATGACCCACCCGAAGGCAAGCGTTAGCCAGCACGATGAAGAGTGCAAGGATGTGTTTATCCTTGAGCAACTCCTTTAGGTGGACCCATGTAACATGGTCCGGTCCTGGTGCAGAGGAGTTGGAGCACCCCTTCAGGGCACTCAACAACTCATGCTCCGAGAAGTCAGCCCACTCACGGACCGGCTCGTCGGGAAGCTCGTCTAAGACTGAGGCATCGTACTCGTGACCAGAGGCCGAGTTGTACGTGCCGTGCAGGGCGTCCCAGAGGTCGTCCATATCGTGGCAAGGCTGATCTCCATTGCGAATAGCCTCACAGGGTGGTAGCTTGCACTGTTTGACCCATTCCATTAGGTCCCATGGGCGCTTGCGAGAGGTAGCGATTTCTGCGATGCGTTCATTGAAGAAGTCATGTTTGGCATCCTTACACACCTTCTTAAACTTGTTGTAATCAGCAAGCGAGCGGCTCAACTGATACACTCCGAATGTCTCCGAGCACTCTTCCGTCCACCAGGACTTGGAGCGCTTGGTAGGTTTGGACTCGGTCGAGTGGGCAAACCACGCGTCCGAGAATGCTGTCGCAATAGCATCGGCTAAAGCTTCAACACCTTCCTTGGTTGCCGGGGCTGCGACAGGAATAGCCGCAAGATCCCGGAGAATATCCGAAATGAAAGACTTTTCAGCCTCGCTTCCAGGTTTAATTGTCCATCGCCCAGATACGGGTGGTTCAGGACCGATATCAAGATCTGTACAGACCGGGACATGATCTGACGAACCCTGGAGATCGTGCTCCAATCTGGGCATCGAGATTAGAATCTCAGATGGAGCTAAGAATACAAGATCCAACACGTTGGATCTCTAGTTTGGATTAGGACTGATTCTCGTCGGTCCATGGTTAGAAGGTCGTGCCCACTCGAGGCCGATCTGAGATGCGGTGTCCCGCAGGGATATTGCCGTCGACGACTCGCCATGATCATAGTCATCCCAAGTCGTCAACACGCAGTTGAAGTCACCAGCCATATAAATGAAAGGTGGTAAAGAATGCACACGAGCAGCGAGGTGCTCAATGGCTGTGTGTTGATCATCAGAATAGACATTCATTAAGTTAAGAACCTTGCCCCCGCTAAAGAGGGAGAGGACGAGGATGTCGCGATGGTCGACAATGTCGCGACGCATAGCGGGACGATAGCAGGAGAGCCTAGTCGAGATGTAGGCGATCACGTGGGGAACCTCCCCTTCCTTAATGCATACCATCTGCAGCCAGTCCGGATGCTTAGGTGCGCTGATGACCTCATCGCCCTCCATACTTGTGATAGACGGTGCATGTCTTATGAAATTCCAAGGGGTTTCCTGGAAAAATAGAATATCAAATCTGTTTTTACAAATTTCGAGGAGAGTGTCTACGTGTGCATATGTGTGACGAACGTTCTGACAGTAAATACGTAGCCCGCTATTTAGATCCTGCTGGTTTCCCAACATTAGTCTAGGTTCGGGGGTTAGTAAGTTGGCGGCGAGCGGCGTGCTCACGTACCTGACGATACTCGGCCATGATCCACTCATGGTCGTAGCGATGGGCCCAGAAGTTACACAAAGCCAAGTTGGCAGCATGGTCCTTGTGGCAGTTGACACAGCGGCCCTTGTGGGGGCAGGGCTGGTCACGAGGGGTGGGCAGCACAGGGGGCTTCGCTTTCGCGTTGCCCTTGCAACATCCCGCATGTTGACGATGCTCCTTCTGCTCGTGCGGCCCTGAGCAGATGGGGCAAGAGAGTTGTTTCGCCTTACAGGCGACGGTGGGGTGGCCCCACTTCCAGCAACGCTGGCAAAGCGGGACCCCGGTGTGTTGTGCGGCCGGCCTGATTGCGCAGGACCGCCCGGCAAGGAAGATTGGTTGGCCTAAGGCCTTCTTGGCACGGGTTCCCTGCTGGGAGTCCCAGATGTTGCAGTACACGGTGCACGATGTCGAGTGCGCCGAGTTGCGGTCGATCCGAGGCTTGGTGCTCAGATATGCGAAAACCTCAGCGTGAACCGAGGTACGGAGGGCCTTTTCAAGCGCCTCCTGGGTGATCTTCAACCCTTTCGGATCGAAGTAAGGAACATCGAGTATCTTTATAAAAGATGTCGACGATGGGAGTGCAACCTCGAACGGAGTACCCGTTGGGAGGCTTTCACGGATGAAGTTGCGCAGGATGTCCAGATCGGACGGGCTGGCAACAGCGGGGGTGACCAATGACAAACCGTCATAGGCGTGAACGATGGAGGTGACCTTCAACATAGATCGACCATCCCTTAAGTACCCGTTGGCTGCACGGACAGCCGACTCGGTGAAGAATTTCGTGAGGTCGGGAGGGGTACCCCCGAACGACACGAGAACCTGCTTCTGGGTGGGGCCCTCGGAAGTGAAAGAAGGAACGGACCGATGAGGTGAAGTCTTCATCGGACCCGTTGGGAATGCGGGGGGAGGAGAAGGCCTGCGCTGTTGCGGTCCCAGGCCAGGAGGCGGGGGAGGCATCGGAGCGGCCTGTCGTGCGATCCCTGCCCACGTCGTTGGACAGGGCTTGGGTTTGGTAGCGCGGTTGATCGGCAGAGGCGGACCAGGGCAAGAGTAGGCCACCTTGCTCTTCTTCTTCTGAGGAGGTGGGACCGGACGATCGACACCCTTACGCTTCTTGGAAGCGGGGATGCGAGAGGGGAGGCCGGGCGACCAAGGTCGTCCAATGCCTGCATGAGGACGTTGGGCGGAGCCCCCACGTCAATGACACCCTCGTCGAGCGGCCCACGGGCAGCAGGAGGAGGAGGCCTGAAAACGGGAGCCAGGTGGATGGTCGGCTCGTCCTTGGAAGACGTCTCAGCCTTGAGAAGAGAGGCGAGCGAGAAGTTGTCGAGATCGCCTGGTCCACGAATACGATCAAAGTCAGTGGCCATGACGGCGTTCACGAAGGACATCATCTGGGCCACGAAGGCATCGCCCCCATCGATGGAGAGCGGATTGTGGTGCACGGCCCACAGAACCCAGTCTGTGGCCTTCGCAATGGAGGTGGTCAATACCTCAAGATCGCCAGGAAGATCCTCGACTGTGTCTCGGAACTTCAAGGCGTATTGACCTAGAAGAGGGTCGACGGAGGGGTCCCTCGAGACCTCCTCCCCTCCCTGAGTGCCCTCTACCTCCATCTCCTGGGGGTGGGCCATCCCTGAGTCAGACTCGTCTGCGGGCGAATGGGCGGAACCCGTGGTGGAACAGGACCTGCGGCGGGGCGACGTGTGGCGAGATCGAGCTGGCACAACCGTCGAGTATGTGGCCCTAGTCGAGGTAGGGTCTGGCGAGATTGGTGAGGCATCACCGCCAAAAGACGATGAGCCAGCGACCGATGGTGGTATTGCTGGTGGTGCGGAGCCCGAGTCCCCCCCACGACGGCTCCTAGGAACCGCCCCAGGGGGCCTCGCGCCCCGACCTCTCGGTGGGAGGTCGGACATGGTTTGCAAATGCGGTGCGAATGTTCAGGTGGGGTGGTCTGACTGTAAGATAACGCAGTAGACGATGTGCGAGACGATGAGCTGGTTGTTTGTGCATGTTTACAAGTGGGCGTTCGAGAGAAAGGGGTGAATCTGCAGGTGGTTCAGGACCAATAGAAAGATCCGTACAGATTGGGACATGATCTGACAGACCCTGGAGATCGTGCTCCAATCTGGGCATCGAGATTAAGATCTCAGATGGAGCTAAGAATACAAGATCCAAGACGTTGGATCTCTGGTTTGGATTGGGACTAATCCTCGTTGGACCATGATTAGAAGGTCGCGCCCACTTGAGGCCAATCTGAGATGCAGTGTCCCACAGGGAAATTGCTGTCACTGACTTGCCATGATCATAATCATCCCAAGTCGTGGACACACAGTTGAAGTCGCCTGCCATGTAGATGAAGGGTGGAAGAGAATGCACACAGGCAGCAAGGTGCTCAATGGCTGTGTGTTGATTGTCAGAATAGACGTTCATTAGGTTGAGAACCTCGCCCCCACTAAAGAGGGAGAGGACGAGGATGTCACGATGGTCAACAATGTCATGACGCATAGTGGGACGATAGTGGGAAAGCCTGGTCGAAATGTAGGCGATCATGTGAGGGACTTCACCCTCCTTAACACACACCATTTGCAACCAATCAGGATGCTTTGGTGCACCGATAACCTCATCACCCTCCATACTAGTGGTGGACAGTGCATGTCTTATGAAATTCCAAGGTGTTTCTTGGAAAAATAAAATATCAAACTTGTTTTTACAAATTTCGAGCAATGTATCGACATGGGCATAATTATGACGAACGTTCTGACAAAAAACATGTAACCCGCTATTTAGATCCTGAAGGTTTCCCAACATTAGTCTAGGTGGCAAACTGCCAGCATATCATGGTCTTTACTGACTCTATGGGCTCAGCCCACAGAGCAGTGGACCCTTCCATGCACTCTGGCCAGGCTTTTAGTCTGTCAGTTTGTTGTGCTCTCCAAGAGTGGTTCGAGGCAGATGATCTCCACTGCATCACCTTTGTCTATGTTCCATCCGCTTTGCGGTGGGATATCCATGATGAGGCACACAAGTACGTCACCGAACTCAAAGTCAGGGTTGGCTGTCACAAGACGGATAACTCCATAGATGTGCTGCGCTCTCGAGCCACGCACTCAGTCCTGGACACGTGGAGTTCCACTTTCCAGGATCCGACCTACCGAGGCTCTGAATTTTTAGAGCTTCAATGGCCTGATGGGCGGCCAATGCAGCCATCGTACCTCAATGGGGGGACCTTGGCTTTCAACTTTCGGGCACAGTATCACTGAGTTCGCTCGCGTCTGCCAGTGTATAACTGGCCACGCGCCCATTGGAGCGTACTACCATCACTTCAAGATCAATGAGCCTCATGGCTGCACTTGCGGGACTGCACTGCAGTCTCACCAGCACATCCTCTTTCGCTGTCATGATAGATACTCTGTACACTATCCCTGTTTTCTCAGGGATATTGCATCGTTTATGAAGTACAACCCTACGGTGTTCGGCTTCAACCGGGACCCTTTGGGGGTTTTCGCGCTCGTTCTTGAACACGACAAGACCGAGTTGTTCCACTTTTCGCGTCGACGAGATGCCTACAATCCCTCGCTGGATCTGGGGTACGCCCCTCATACCGGTGCTACACCTTTGAAGCCTAAGACCTATTGGAGGTACCTGGGCTTCTATTTTGACCACGGGCTCACGTTTCAGGAGCACGTCCGCTACTACGCCACCAAGGTGTTTACCACCGTGCAGGCCATGCGCATGCTCAGAAACTCTACTAGAGGTCTTTCACCTAAACAGCGCCGCCTCTTATACAGGTCGTGTGTGGTCCCCATTGCCACATACGGCTATCGTCTCTGGTATTTTGATGGCGCTCGCAACAAGGGCGCGATGAACCAGTTGAAATGGATGCAGCGGAAAGCTGCTCTATGGATTACAGGTGCTTTCCGCACCTCCCCCACCGGCGGTCTTGAGGCTCTTGCAGGTCTCATTCCTGTCCACCTCATGCTGAAGAAGCTGGCAACGTGTGCAGTGTACCGCGTAGCCACCCTCTCGGACACCCATCCTCTTCGCTCTATGATGGGCGAGGGACTCCTCAAGCGAGCTGCACCACATGCTCGCTCTGCCGCCTTGATAACCCCAGCCATGCAAGGGAAAGTCAAGAGCACCGTCATGGAGGTGGACGAGCGTGTCCACACCTTAACTGAGAGCTTCGAGCCCTTTGCGCCCAAAGCTCGCCCAAGTGATCGGTTACTGGACCGCTATGCGGACCGTCTCCACTTTGACGAATGTGATCCTACCCAGGATAGGTGTCCATATCTAGACGAGCTCATCGCGAGAGCAAGGGCCGACCCACTAACAGTACTGGCTGCAACTGATGGCTCTGTCCCTCAGTCCAATCAGTATCAGGCGGCTTCGGCTGCCATTATCTACAAGGGACATCGCGAGCTCGAAAGGACTCGCTATGTCTCTGGCAGAGTTACCGCCCCTGATGCGGAACTCAATGCCATCTCGTGTGCAGTACGCCTTGCTGTCAAGCAGGCAAACTGCCAGCATATTATGGTCTTTACTGACTCTATAGGCTCCGCCCGTAGAGCGGTTGACCCTGGCATGCATTCTGGTCAGGCTTTTAGCCTGTCAGTTTGTCACGTTCTTCAAGAGTGGTTTGAGGCGGATGACCTTCGCCGCATTACCTTTGTCTATGTCCCATCAGCTCTGCGGTGGGACATTCATGGTGAGGCACACAAGTATGTCACCGAGCTTAAAGTCAGGGTTGGACGCCGCAAGACGGACAACTCTATAGACGCGCTACGCTCACGAGTGGCGCACTCAGTCCTGGATTCGTGGAACTCCACTTTCCAGGATCCAACCTACCGAGGCTCTGAATTCCTAGAGCTTCAACAGCCTGACGGGCGGCCACTACAGCCATCGTACCTCAATGGGGGACCTTGGCTCTCAACTTTCGGACACAGCATCACTGAGTTCGCTCGCGTTTGCCGGTGTATAACTGGCCACGCGCCCATTGGAGCGTACTACCGTCGCTTCAAGATTAATGAGCCTCACGGCTGCACTTGCGGGGCTGCCTTGCAGTCCCGCCAGCATGTCCTCTTTCGCTGCCGCGATCGCTACTCTGTGCACTACCCCCGATTTCTCGGGGATATTGCAGCTTTTATGAAGTACAACCACGCTCAGTTTGGC